CCAGTGCTCTGACACGGTGTCATCAATCTTTGAATGCTGAAAAAGCACAGTGTATCCAGAAAAACACATTATATTATATAAATTATTATAAAATTTGTGTGCGCCTAACTTTTGTACTGGTACGCCCATGGCAAAAAGTTAGTCTAGAGCCCTGCCATTTAGATACGTTTAAGCTTAAAATTTTATCAACTTAAACACTGCACATGCAGATTACAGCGCTGCTTTTGAAACATCTAACTAATAACATATAAAAAAAACCCCACTAACTATTCCTAACTAAATTATTAATAAATAAACATTAAGAATATTTATTTTGGTAATGATGTCTTAAAAATGAAGTTAACTATAAAACACAATCAATGAAAACTGACAATCATAAAATACAAACACAAACTAAAAAGATCAAAACTGAGCTAAACTAATTTACAGTAAACACAGTGAAACTTTTCCTGTCTGAATGAATGAATTAAATTTATCTAAAAAAAAATCAGAACAATACCTCTGTGTGGAGAACAAGGGAGACACACTGCTGCTAGTCAACACTGACAGTCAGTGAAACAGCATTTTACTCTGCCTTGCATAAGTAACTTTTATGGAGATCAAAGGTTAGCCTGTTTAGAGATGATTGCCATTCTTCGTTCTAACTGGACAGCTTAGTCACAATGACAAATCATTTAAAATCAGTGGTAACACTTAATAATAATGACACGCTATTGGGCATTAGTAAAGTATTAGTAAGTGCTTAATTCATTTATAAAGCATTATTCCTCCTTACATCAATTGATGTATGATGTGCTGTTCTGAGTTTTTATTGAATTTGACTGAATGAGGAGGAGGAGGAGACCATCCAATACTCCTTTTATTTCAGCCGTGTTCACCAGACACCGTTCTTTCTAATTCAGGAGCACTCTGGAATTGAACCTGACTGGATGCTGACTCATCTCACTAAAAGCTCACTAACACAAACCAGAGCAACACTGAACCTCAGGAATGAACTAAAGAACTTTCAAACATCCCAGTAATCCTCACTAATGTTTTATCATGACCTTATTCATATTTTATTTTAAATGAAAAACCTTAAACGTTACACTACCCAGTTACCCAACTGCTCATTCTCTCTTAAACTCCTCTTACAGACTTAGACTCTCATCCTACCAATGTTTTAGTATTCTGCAAACCTCAAGTGGACTATGTTTGCATCACTCATTTTAATTATCTATATATATGTGTGTGTGTGTGTGTGTGTGTGTGTGTGCATTTAAATACTTTGTTAATCACTTTCTTAAACTTTTTAAATGATACCATGAACATGTTATACATGTGACTGTGAATGGAGAATAAATATTTATATCTGGTGATTGAACTGGTTCTTATGTAGTGCTCTTCTATTCTACCCGAGCACTCAAAGCGCTTTATAAAACTTGCCTCATTCACCCATTCACACCCATTCTTACGAGCACACTTTCTTAAGTAGATGACTTACTCTACCTTCTGAGCCACAGCTAAGGATGACCAATGCTTTATAAATGATGAATTAAGCACTTCCTAATATCTTATTAATGCATAATAGTGTGTCATGTGCCAACATGATTACACTGAAGAATTAAACAAATAAAATCTAGATTTTAGGTCGTTCTGTCTTCTAACTTAATGTATTGGGGAAAGCATGCAACTATTCTGATAAATCTCACAAAACAAACGGCCATGTGAACATACAAACCACACTCAGTGGTAACCTTTTATGTCAAGGTATCCCTCTTTCTGATGACTCTGTGTGGACTGGTGATGTCTAAAAGAAGAAAAGAAAAGAAGAAAATATCCTTTTCTAATAATATCACTACTAACATTTATCTGCAGGTAGATAGGACAGTATGCTCTGTGCCTTCTCAAACAGCCACCAGTTGTTTCACATTCCTGACTGTGCCATATGGTGGGATTAAAGGGGAATTGCATCAGTTTTACATGTCAAAATTAATGTATTTGCATGGGAGGAGCCTCATACAGCTGGAGGAACTGTGTCATGTTTGAAGGATATTAGCGTTTAGTTAGTCTACAAATTGTAAAATCAAGGTATTCAGTTGAGTGGGCATTAGATTCAAGATACCTCTTCTTCCAATAAAGTGGACTTATTTGAGGTTTAGATTTTATTTGCCATTTGCAATATAAGTCATCTCAACATGTTTTTACATATGAAGGAAAAATCATAAGATATTAGATAGGGAACCAGTGACACCCTGTGAGCAAGCACTTCCTAATGCCACATTTAACTGAGTGGCTCATTACAGTTTCCGTTTGGATTTGTCAAGCAAATTAACATTTGATATTAATAGATAGATGAGAACACAGTCGATGTTAAGAGGTTAAATATTTATACTGTGCTTTCCGACTCCACATTAAAGTAAAGAGACCCTTTCATGCCAGGATACGGAAAAGGTGAAGACATTAATTATTCAGTACAACCTTCATAAATCTCACTGGTAACTGCTGTGTTGGTGGCTGTTGTGATAGCATAATATCATTCATGAAAATAGTTTGAAGAAAATAGTTCTTAAATTGTTTAGCACTGACTTTATTGTTTGTTATTTACGGAAGAGGATTAGGGCCACTGGAAAAAAAATCTGAGATTAAAGTCAGAATTCTGACTTTTTTTCTCAGAATTCAGGGAAAGAAGAAAAAAAAAAGACGTGCCCACTTTTTTCCCCCTGTGGCCCTAATCCTCTTCCGTACACTCCTCTCCAACTCTGGCCAGCTCAAATTGATAACCTAGGTTAAAAAGGGGAGGGACGGACAGACCGAGGAGGGCTGAGAGATTTCGTTCGATAAGCCCAATGTCCTTCAAGAAAATCAACCAATGGTACATCGCGGTCGCAAAAAAAAATTATAATATACTTTTTGGGGTAAATTATAATATAATAATAGCCATTTGAAATGTCGTTTACTAGCTTTTGTATAAATTGAGAATGCGAATAAACTGACTATTCCCGAATTTCACTTTCACCTTTATTTTGAAATTGGGCCTTAAGTTCTCTTACCGTAATATTTAGGACACACACAACTCAAAACATGCACTGACTGTGCTTCTAAAACTGGAGGCTGGTTTGAGGAAATCCTCGTCTGAACCCACCTGTGATGTCCAGTCCTGGGGCATAAGGGTCACAGGACAGACCGACCTCTCTGATAAGGTCTCAGGAAAACCAGATGTCGAAATATTTGCGCAGTGAAATTTGGCTACCTGTGGTAAGTAAGGAAAATATTAACCCGACAGCTTGAACATGTTCTTCCCGTGATACCTATCTACATCCATGTAGTGTCAAGCAGTTGGGCTCTATAGGCGTATTTTCTCTAGAGTTTTTGTTTTTTCAGGGAGCAGGTCAAGTTCCTGATAAATACCCCAAACCTTGAAACCAATCATTTCTCAAGAAAGATGGCGTCAGCAGATAATCCCGAGGACCGCTGTGTGGAGATGGTAAGAAGGTATCTCTTTTTAACAAACTGTCTAAAACTGACGATTTGCGTGATTAGTAGAGAAAATTCCGATTCAGAAGAGAGAACTTTTTCCTTTATTTAGGTCTAAGTAAAATACTAGTTTTAAAGTACTTTAATTTGCTCTAGACCATTAAAAAATCCTAAAAGAGCACAAGAGACGTCCTCCCGTGCCTACGTGAAATAACAGTGTCACTGATTAGGCATTTACCCCATTTAGACATTGTTATCTCTGTTTCTGCCTGGGCTGCAGCACCTCTGTTTCAGAAAGTTTATTGTTAAAGTCATATTTACTAGTTATTCCCAGTAAATATGCAGCTCTGGATCTGTCTCCGTTTGACAGTCATCCTCGATTGGGAAAAACCTGTAATGACCAGCGTCTCGTGTTCTTGTTGGCATAAGTGAAGCCACACAATAAAAAGATGCACCCAGTATGTTAAACTTGATTCTTATGAGGCGTAGACTTGCAAGTAGAGTTAAACATATTCAAAAAAGCCTACTTTCAATAAAAGACTTGTGCTGTAGTTACTATATCAACCCTCACAGTATCTCCTTCAGATGTTGCTGACGTTAGTACGCAAAGGTCTCTGATTCCCATTTCTTTACACTCATTTATCATATACTGTATTACTAATGCATAATAGACCTAGTTCATGAAATTTGTATTTGAGCCAAAGATTCATCAAAAATTAGACTATATTGTCCACATCAAATGTAGGATGTTTTAATCATGGAAAAAGACTTGATTTGTTGTTAAAATGAGCCCACTGAGTGTGAGTGTCTGACAGGTTTCAGAGACTCTGGAAGGAAGAAGTGGCAAAGAGAGGCCCGGAGAAGGCCTCGCTAGTTCGTGTGGCCCTGCGCTTTCTGAGAACCAGGCTGATTCTGTCGACCGCTGTTTCCGTCTTTGTGGCATTGTCATTATTTCTCGGGCCTGTGAGTTATCTGTCTTACAATATATAATACACTGCTCCAAAAAATGAAGGAGAATTTTATAATTAGAGTATAACGACAACTAGGATAAAGCTCTGGGATATTTATCTAGTCAGTTAAGTAGCAGAGGGGGTTATTCATCACTTTCAACTGCTTTGGTATTAATGAAGTCAACAACAGGTGGACCAGAGGGGGGAAATGAGAAACAAGAATGGTTCTACAGGTGACATTTACACTGATGTTTTTTTCCCTAATCTGTTCTGACTGATTTTTTTTAAAAATTCACCAACTTTGCTAGGTTCAATGTCACTACTGGTATGAGGCAGTATGTGGACACTAAAGAGGTTACACAGGTTGTCCAACACCTCGATGATGGCACATCAGTATGTGCCTTTGGCAGGTTTGCTCTCCCAACACAAATAAAACCATCTAAGCAATTAAAGAAAAAAATATTGCCTTAACAGGATATAGCTATATGAAACTGACAAATTACATTAGTTGGAGAAGTTACCAAGAGTGGCATGGGGTGCATGCTTTTATTTTAAGCAGAAAAAGAACCAAAAATTGCACATTTTCATTATAGAGCTAAAAAGCCAAAGCCCCCTCTCTGCTACAGTTTGACATTAATAACACCCCAATCATGTGAATTTTACACCCACCCTAACTATACACCACGCTGCAGTTTAAATGATTCCTGCTCTTTAGCAGGGCGACCGTGGCTCAGGGTGTTGGGAAGCGTATCTGTAGCTGGAAGGTCGC